ATTTGATTATGATTGAGGAAGTATCTATAGGGGTAATTTAAAAAAATTGATAATATGATAAATAAGTCTTATATTAAAACCAAAATCAACTCAATAATTAGGTCATATATTAAGAACCGAAGGAGTACATTAGTTAAAATTACTATTTGATAAAAATTTAACATACACAACTACTACAAGGACTACCTAAAGGAAAAAAAAGGATAATATGAAAAACAAAATCGAGTGAAATCCTATATTTAGAGCTAAATTAAATGTTAAACTAATTCTTATATTAAAAATAGAAGGTAATAATAATTAAAAGTATAGACATACCTCGCTTGCATGAATCTAATCTACAAACCAATCACTTGAAGTGTTGGAGCCATTTGGCTCAACTAGCACCTATCCTCTCTGTGGCAATCGAATAAGGTGTTTTGAAATTCCAATTGAATACTTAAAAAATAATTTTTAAATAATAATTTACGAAATATGATATAAATATGTGGTGAGAGTTATTTCAATTTATGTAAAATTACTTATAAACACTTACCATAAGCAGGTAGAAACAAATCTTGAGAGGTTGCAAATTCAATCCTTCACAAGTATAATAAGTGCATGAGTTGATTCCGATGGATCAAAGATGATTTAGGAGGGGGGAAAAAAGCAATCACTTGAAGTATGAGCTGAACCACTTATTTTTCCTTCATACTTTTTTTTCCAAAATTTATATAAATAAAAATTATTTTTCCCCAACACATCTCTTATGATTAGCTTGAACTTTTATCAATAACTTCATCATGTTTGGGTCAATTAAAATCACTTTTTTATTTTTAAAAAATTGACTCTAATTTTGCAGTAGAAAATAGAAGTGACTAGGTGGGAAGCATACTCATTGCTTCATCTTTTCTGAATTTCACATGCTTTTTTTTACCAGAACTGAATCCCACATGCTGTGCAATTATTACTGGATTTTAATGTATGTCTCAACAAACATAACTCAATTGTTTCTTACTCCCTCCTATCTTCCTACAATAAATAAAAGCATACCCCATCCAAGTGTATATATAAGAGAATCATTTTGAAATTACATGTTTAGATTTTTTAAGAGATATTAACAGACTAATTGAAACTTTTAGTACTCCTCCGGTCCTTATTATAAGACCCAATTTGACTTTTTATTTGGTCCTAATTATAAGACCCAATCCATTTTCTCTCTTATATTTATGTATTTTTTTTCCAAGATAATCCTTCTAATAATGATAGTTTTAGCCAATATACTTAATTAGCAAGAATATTTTAGGAATAACAACACTTATTTATTATAAATAACCAACTTAACTTACTTCCTTAATCTCCTCAAATAAGTCAATTGGGTCTTATAATTAGGACCGGAGGAGTATTATTTTTTATGTTTTTATCTTTACTCCATTTAATTATTAATTAGTTTCACTGTGTTAATTATTCACTAACCGTCTTCATAAATAAATTGATATTTTTTAAAGTGATTTAGGTATTGGTATACATCATAACATTAACCTCAATCCGCAACTAGTGATGTGCAGATTTCTCTTCCACCAAAAATGGGAAAAAATATATATAATGTGTGTTTGATTTTAAGCTAACAACTTTTTTTTTTTTTTAAAAAAAAAGGGGCAATGCATGTTGAAAATAGAATTTGGAAAAGCAAAAGGCGGGGAGGATGAAGCAGACAGCAGAGGAAAAGGGAAATATTTAATAATTTTTGGACGAAGGGGGAAAAGGGAATGCAGAGTTGGGTACGCGTAATATGCGTAAAGGCGTTATGATCGAAAAGACATACGACGATCGGGTGTGGCAAGCGGTGCGCTGCTTTTAAGGCACTCCCCCAGTGGGCCCATACATCTCGTGGGACCCACCTGCCGCCAGTCACGCCCTCCTCACGTGAACCCCAATCCCTCCCTCTTCTCCCGCACTTCATTACCCCCTTTCTCCATTCACACCGCCGCACACAACACAAGACACCTTTTTCTCTCCGGTGCTCTTTTTTGTTTATAATTTTATTAGATTTGATCTAAGTTTAAGGGCAAAAATCAAAATTAAAATTATTTAAAAATAAAATACAAGAATTGTTCATTGAACTCAAACATTTTTTTATTATAACATTAAAACTTTTCAATAATTTTTTTTGGGACTTATTGTAATTCTTCTCTTTTTTTGGGATCTTTTCATCAAATTTTAGTTTTTATCTTTATAATTTTATTAGTTTAAGGGCAAAAATCAAAATTAAAATTCTTTAAAAATAAAATACAAGAATTATTCATTGAACTAAAAAAAAATTATAAAACTATGAGGATCAAAAGTCAATGATTTAAAATTGCAAAAGCAAACCTTAAATTCAATCAAATTATAAAAATTAAAAATACTATTAATCTTGTATAATATATTTTATAAATGGTATTAGAATTCAACTCGCGTTGGTTTATCATACAAGTAAACCAGTGGATCATTCCCATAAGTCCATAAGCAATTCGGTCTATAACTTTGGATGATTTGAACAAACTGGATTTTATATTTTTTAAATTAGACTAAAACAATGTCATTTTTCTGTTAAATTTGTGGTTTTAAGAATTTTATTTTGATAAATTATTTGTGATTATGCATAAATATTTCATTTCCCTTATAAATTAATACTTGTTAATTATAATATTATTGATTTTAGATTTATATATAAATTTTTTATATATTTTAATTTAAGCATACTATTTTAAATACAATTAGATTCATTAGCAAGTTGAATGACTTTTGAACCACTTTTCTTGAATTTTATTTTCCCCTGCAACTTCTAGGGGTGTTCAAGGCCGGCCCGTCCCGGTCGGCCCGTTCCGGTCCCGGTCTTATTGGGACGGGACGGATCCGTCCCGAAATTTTTCGGGACGGGACAAACCGGGACGGGACAAAAAAGGGACCGGGACGGGACGGGACACGGGACGGGGTCGTCCCGTCCCGGTCCCGTCCCGGTTCCTTTTTTAAAAAAAAAAATTTTAATTTTTTTAATTTTTTATATAATATCATTTTTTTCATATTTTTTTAAGATTTGAGACTATTGCATGGAACTATGGATATATTTATTTAGAGTTTTTATATTTGTTAATGATTTGAGATTATTGATGATTAGAATTTTTAGCAAGTTTTTATTGTGTTAAAAGCTTTTGTTTAGAGTTTTTAATAACTATTATATGTAATATTTTGAGCTTTTGTTTAAGAGTGCCCAAACAAATAAAAAAGATGTTTTTATAAGATTTAAGCTCAAAAAAATATAATTAAAAAATTAGATTTTTTTAAAAAAATTTAAAAAAATTTAAAAAAAATTAAAAAAATAAAAAAAAATAAAAAAAATTATTTCGGGACGTCCCGGTCCCGTCCCGGATCCGTCCCGTCCCGACCGGGACCGGGACAACCCCGGGACGGGCCGGGACACGGGACAGAAAATCTGTCCCGTTACTGTTCATCGGGACGGAACCGGGACGGGCCTGTCCCGGTCCCGATCCGTCCCGTGAACACCCCTAGCAACTTCAATGGATTCCGTTCAATGGTCTCCACACGCAACGCAAAAGGCAACATGGGGACCCACCCGCCGGCCCGCTCTTACTCCTACAAAATCTGATTCTTTTCTTATCAGGTGCGGTGCATGATTCTATTATATACCCAATCGCATCGGATAATATCTTCCTTCTTTGTTCATTCCTTAGAACAGCATGCCATCTGGTCAAAAAAAAGAACAACATGCCGTTCCGTTTATATTCTCCCCGGATTCCTCCGTTTTGTTTGTTTCTGTTCCCACTCACTCGGAAAACGGACTACTAGCTCCGTTCTCTCAGCCCCTTCTCATTTTACAACATCCTAGAGTATTTCCTATATTATGGTCTATGCGATATAAGCAATTTAAAAATGTTTGACAATCAATAATATTAATTTTAGTAAATAAAAATTGTTGGTTAATAAATTAAACAATTTCAAATAATTTAATTCAATATAAATCTAAATATTTTTTTAAAATGTAATTGAACTGACATCTTGATTAAGCATGGCTCAGTTTGCAGAGTAGGAAAGTGAATCATCATCCACCTCAATCATACTTGTCATAAAATTTGTATGGCTAGATATGATTAAGAGTGATTCTAAAATAAGAAAAAAAACAAAATATAATGATTTCCTGAAACAAAAACCTATTTTTTTCCCCAAAGAAGGCTACTTAATTAGTACTTTGATCCTGTCCCATTTAAAAAAAAAAACACAGAAGGCTACTTTAATCAAGAATTTTAACTAAAATATCTTTTATTATAAAAATGTCAAATAGAACTTCGTGTAGTAACTAACTTAATTTAAATTTAAATCAAAAATTAAATAATTTTTTCCTGAAAAAATTGTGTACATTCTAAGAATTAAAAGTGCATTATCACGTAATTTTTGATGAAATTATGAGTTTGTGTAATTTAATAAAACAAATAAATATCGCATTAAGTGGAGGAGTGGGGAGCTCCTTAAAGTCGAGAAAAAATTAAAAAAAAAAGAGGAAAAAGCAGAAAAGCAGAAGAGGACAAAATCAAATGTGGCAAGCAAGCAAAAACCCATTAATCCAGCAATTTGCAGCGCAAGGCAAGAACAACCGAACAACGGATTGGGTTTTTGCTTTTTCATTTCTTTTCATTTATTTTATTGTATGGAATAGTTGAACATACGATACGAGCATCTTTTTAGCCTTTTGGTCGTGAAATAAAGATTTATTGTTATCATCGCACATAATTTTTCACAGAAAGTGATTGGGTTTGCTTAATCCAGTGGATTTATAGTTTTTTGCTTTGTTCATTAATTAATTATTTAATTAATCTAATCTCACTGCTTATTGTTGACACCCGCCTTTTTCGTTTCCTTTTTCATCAATCTTCGTCACTGTGCGCACACCATGTGTGAATGCGTGACTCTCTTACCTCCCTCCTTCTTCTTCCTCTTTCTCTCTCTGTTTCTATAAAAATCTCTGTAATCTCTCTCTTTAGTTACATATAGGACCTCTTAAACACAATGCTTCACAAGCTTTGAGGGTCACACTGTGCATGCTCTGCTTCTGTATTGGCATTTGTTTCTTCTCTCTCTCTCTCTCTCTCTCTGATTACCGGGTAATGAAAATGGCCGGGTGGCCTCTTTTGGGGTGAACGCTGAGTATTCCTGCAGCAATGAAGGTCTTCGTTTCATCATCTAATGGGGTTTCTTTATTTTTGGTCTCCGTACTCGTATTGCTTTCGGTGAGCTCGATTTCAGCCTTATCTTCAAGTGGGTCGATCAGGCATCCCGTCAAGTTTATCTTAGGTTCGTCTTGCAAGTTTCTGCAGTTTTGATTATGGATTGATAACAATGTTCTCATTCCTGGTGAACTTGACTCTCGCTGGCTACGATAATGGGTTCGGCGTGGATCTTATTTCTCTCACTTGTTTGGTTGCTGGGAAGATGCAGGAAGGAGTTTTTGCCTCATTTTACCGTGAATTTTCCGAAATGGGATCATAATAAATGAATTAAACTTAAATATGCACTCTTTAATTTGTTGCTGGGTGTTTCTTTGGGGTCCCTGAAATGGAAACGCTGAGACCTTCCCTTTTGGCAGATTTTCTTGGCAACCAAACAAGGCAGATGCTTCTTTATTTGGAACCTTGTTTAATTGCGTCGTCTTGTAATTATTTTTTTGGCTTATTTTGGCTCAAAATTTGGAGTAGAACTAGGATCCTCTAACTCAGACTAGCATCAGAGATCATCAGATTTTGTAATCTATTTTGATCCTGCGTTGTTGTGTGTTTCAGGAGAAGAGAATTTGGGTCCATGGAAGAATGAAGTCGCACAAGCGGCACTAGCACCAGTGCCAGAATCACATTCACCTGAGGATACTCTTATATTGGCGGCAAACAGAACGAAAAGGCCTGATATTCTTCGAGGTTTCCGACGTTATCGCGATGGTTGGGACATTTCTAATAAGCATTATTGGGCAGTAAGTACCACGAGCCTGGTGTTTATGTTAGGAAATGGATGCTTTATTCTTCTTTTGATGTCTTAATCTGTCCCCCCCCCCCCCCCTGTTTTGAGCAACAATTTTCATTTTTTCTGTTTTCCTCAGCACCGAGGTTGCGTGCCTTAAGCTAACTCTCTTTCGTTTATTACTTTTCCGTTGTTCTTTTTGGCAGATCCGAAATGGTTTTTTGTAATGCTTACAGATTTGGAAGTATTAAATATCTCTCTACATTATCATCTTACAGGATTTGAACCATTATGTCCATTTCCTCTCTAATCCTGTTATCAGAGATGCCTTTTTGAATACTTATTTGCCTCTTTCGGTACTCCCATTTGCTTTAAAAAAAAAAAAAATGATAGAGACTAAGGTGACATCTTCGATGATGGGAAAATGGACAAGAATGGTTTAAATTCTGAAAGGTGATAGTTCAGGGGTTATTTTCTGGGCTTCCAAATTTGACAAATGTTTGCAAATCGATCAAAGTTAAAAGGGTTTATCTCCATTTTCTCCTAAATTTATTGCCTTCTTACCTTTTTAAGCAATTATTTTTGTTTTATATATTTGCACCCCTTGGAGAATCTAATTTCCAAGGCTATCTGTCGATCACGTAGCATTCTGCTTATTTATTTATTTTCAAGCAGATTCAGATTTTCTATGTTTCAAACAAGCCTTGCAATTCACTTATTCACTCAAATTAATATCCTTTTAACTGTTTTACATGCAGTCAGTTGGGTTCACTGGTGCTGCTGCTTTCATTCTTGCTGTCTTATGGTTTCTTTCATTTGGCTTGGCTCTTATAATTCATTTATGCTGCGGATGGGGAATTAACATCAAGGATGAAGGATCAAATCGTTCGCAGAGAATTTGTCTCATACTGCTTATATCATTCACCTGTGCTGCGGCGTAATACTCTTTATTTTAATGTTCCTTTGTTAACTTCTCAAAATATTACGTTGTCTATGTTTCCCATCTTGGTCCTCTCATTGAATATTGACACCAAATTTTGTTAATATGCACTTGTATGCATCTGCTCTTGTGTCTTATAACCATCTGCTCTTATGTTATCTGTAAAACTTATTCAATATCTACTAATCTGCTAACAATTTGGTAGTCACAACATTTGCATGCTCTGAAATTCTGGGAATCAATTTGCAGCATATGATAAGCAAGATTTCTATGATGTCCTGTTTTAAAACCGATTTGTTGAATCTTTCCTGGTGTCTTTTGCTGATTTGTTCTGATCTCATATCATACAGGACTGGGTGTGTCGTCCTATCTGTTGGGCAGGATAAGTTTCATGATGAAGCCTTGCAAACCCTAGGTTACGTCGTCAACCAATCCGATTACACAGTGCAAACTCTGAGAAATGTCACAGAGTATCTCTCCCTTGCAAAGACAATAAATGTCGCTCAGATGCTTCTTCCATCTGACATCATGGATGATATTGACAATTTGAATATGGATCTAAATGCTGCAGCAAATACACTGTCTGAGAAGACAGATGAAAATTCTGTTAAAATCAAAAGAGTATTCAATAATGTGTATGTTATCATGAACTTGGCGGCACTCTGTATTTTAGTTTCTATAATTGAAAATCAATATTTGAAGTGCTAAACTTTGAATCCATCATGTAGGCGCTCAGCTTTGATTGCAGTGGCAGCAGTGATGCTTGTCTTAGCTCTAATTGGCCTATGTATGTATCCATTGTAGTAGCTTGAAAATTGATCTATCTGTTTTATATTTATATTCTTGAGGTCAGCTTTACAGCAGGCTAATCAATATATTTTCTGCAGGTTTGTCCATTCTTGGACATCAGCATGCAATTCTCATGTATGTTTTTTTGCCCACGGCCTGTTTATACCAGAACAATCCTAATCCTAATTATGCTCTCACTTCTCACATTTGGTTTTAAAATGTTGCAGTTTTGTTATCAGTGGGTGGCTATTAGTCGCAGTCACATTCATTCTTTGTGGAGTGTTCCTCATATTTAACAAGTAAGCCGCCAGATTCTTTTTATTTGCTTTTTAACCTTTATTGTGGGGAGGAATTAGGAGAAATTCTTAGGTTGACTCAGTGTTTTAAATAGTTGGTGGATGAAACCAACCAGGGACGGGGCATTCGAGTGTATTTATTAGCAGACATTTCAGTGGAACCTACTTTTGACATTCTTAAGTGCCTATGCATGATAAGTTTGTGTTTAGTCTACTAAATTCTTGGAAGCCAGATTTATTTAATTTGCTAGAGAAATCAACAAAGAAGGTAGCTATTTTCCTCCTCCAAAAAAGTCCTGACTTGGACATTTTCTTTACTTTTGGAAATGAAAAACCATTTTAATTATTTTTCTTCTTATTTATCCTCTTATGCATGTACATGTTCCATGTGTTTTGTTATTTTAATGCTCATTATTATTTATTATCCATGTTAGGCAGGCCTGGTTTTAGAAAAAAGTTGGTAGATGAACCCAACCATAGATTGACGTATCAAGTATATTTATTTGCAGACTTTTCAGTGGGACCTACTTTTGAAATGTTTAGGTATCTATGCACGATAAGTTTTGTTTTGGTCTTTTAGACTTTTGTAAGCCGGATTCATTGAAAATTTTGAAGAGAAACTAAGACCACTTTTGACTTTGCTACCTCTAACCACCCTTATTAAAATTGTAGTTTAATCCAGAACAAAACCATCATATGACAAGATAGTATTGAACTAAAATAGAATATTATGCATTTTCTGGTAGTCCAATTTCGTCAATGACTCACACTAATATGATCAAAAAATATTTCTATTTCAGTGCAATTTCTGATGCATGTATGGCTATGGGAGAATGGGTAGAGAATCCTCATGCAGAATCTGCCCTTAGTGACATCCTTCCTTGTGTTGATCAGAGAACCACAAACAAGACACTGGTTCAGAGTAAACAAGTGGTCACCAATATTGTAAGTGTTGTGAATCGGTTCATCTACAGCATTGCCGATGCAAATACGTCGCCAAATGATCCAAGCTATTACAATCAGTCTGGACCTGCAATGCCGCCTTTGTGTTACCCTTTTGATTCTCAGCTCAAAGAGCGGGAATGTACGTCTCAAGAAGTTTCCTCCTCCAATGCCTCATTGGTAAGTTCTAACAATTTGATCACTTTACTTTATTTCTTCTTCCTATGATCATATTGAAAGCAAAACTGGAAGTCTTGACATTTAACTTGGATCGAATTTTTCAGGTTTGGAAGAACTACGAGTGCCAGGTAACAGAATATGGTTTTTGCAGCAGCATCGGTAGGGTGACGCCGGAGATTTACTCGGAGTTGGTGGGTGCAGTTAACGAGAGCTATGCATTAGAACATTATACACCACTTTTACTCAACCTTCAAAATTGCAATTTTGTGAGGGAAACATTCGAAGAAATCACTTCAAGCTACTGCCCTCCATTGAACCATTATCTCAAGGTTATCAATGCTGGGCTTGGTCTCATTTCGGTTGGTGTCTTGCTCTGTCTTGTTCTCTGGATACTCTATGCAAACCGCCCCCAAAGGGAGGAGGAGTTTGCCAAACCATCCTTTGCACAAAAACTAAAGAACAGATTTAGTAAGAACCGCAACAATACAAATTCATCATTGCCAAATGCAGCAGGGGAGGTATAGATCGTCCAACATAAAATTAGAAGGAAAAAGAAAGTAGGTCATTAGCGTTATATTGTACCCCATATTAGGGTATGAAACCAAGGTGAAGCGAAGCTACACCATTTGAGTTTCAAGAGAAGAGTACTTACGATATATATATATATATATATATATATGTAGGTTGTATTCATATAGAGAAAAAGAAGAAGAAGCAATATTTGTTGTGTCAAAGAAAAGTTTCATGTGTATATTCAGTCTCCTATCTTCTAATAATGGTAAATGATGGTGAAATTATTCCAATATTTTCCATTAAATGCTTCAATCACATGAAGATTAAAATTTATCACAGTGTTTACTATACGTTTATGTGATTACGTGGTTAGACAATTTATAATGATCCATGCTTAAAAAAAAGAAGAAGAAGAAGAAGAACTTTTTAAGAAGTTACTGGTCGTGTTTAAAATGATATTTTTTTTATTTGCAGCAATTTAAGAAAGTCATCACTGAAGAAAAATCAGAGAGCGAAAAGTGGGATGATGATCAATTTGGATATGAACAATATGTAAAGGATATATTTTCTAAGCAATATAAACTCTCCTTTCAATGTCACATAAAACTGAGTTTTGATGAACGATCACCTCAAATATTAACCATATATGGAGTATCTTTATATATAAGTACAGCTTGAAGTTTGAAGAATAGTCTGATAACATTGTAAACGATGCAAGTTTGAAATACCACACTTAGACTCCTCATTTGGGAAATCAGTGCTTCGTCGGTCCGCGTCATTGCTGCGTCAGTACAGTATCCACCAGAATCGAACACAATTTCCTCCACATGCTTTGCCTATCACATCAGAGGAAGCTTCTTCAACTTTTAATGCGCCACAAGAGCATCACTTACGCCATGAACAACAAGCTTATCGCTGTGAAATATATTCGGAAAGACAACTGCGACTCCGTTCAGCGCCAAAACACCACCAGACCTCGCGACGTTAATAGAAAAACCCTCCAACATAGTGGGTAAGTTCGACCCGCTGTTCAAGTCCGCCAGATCATTCCAGAGAAGCTTACATGGTACAACATGACGAAGAAAGAACGATGGATACTCGCTGAAATTCGCAAGAAGATTCTTCGCCATTTCATCTTCAGGAGCAAAAACGGTCATTGCGGCCTCGTTGCTGATTCCATTCATTTGCAAACCAAGAAACGACGCCGTCAGATAGTACCCTGTGGATCGAAGTGTTTCGATGGCTTGACTGAACGAATCGGAGGAACTCATAGTCTGTCTCTGCAACCCACAAATTGGATTAGGGCTAGGTTCCTGAGATGCTGGAGTATACTGAAAATCGGGATCGAAGAAACTGTCGATTCCGTAGATCAGGAAAAGCCCATCCTCATAAATAGGCGACGAACCAATGACTCGGACGTAGTTAAGCGAAATCTCGAAATCGGAATGTGACTCAGTGACGATGAGAGTGTGGTTATTCAGCAAGGTCGGGATCTCGGAGCCAGCGGGGAGCAATCGGAGGTTCTGAGGCGGCAAAGGCAGAGGGGAGAAGTGGAAACGGAGGAGATCAAGAGAAGGTTGACCCGATTTTGCAAAAGAAGAATCCGATGGAGCGAAAATGGTGAGAGAAGGAGTTTGCGAAAGAAGAGTTTGAAAAAGAGCTTGGAGAGTGAGAGACATGGAGGTGTAGCCTGAATCGGAGAGAATGTCGGCAGCGTCGAGGACGGTTTCACGGGAGAGAGAAGAGGAAAAGGAGAAAAGGGAGGAAGTGTGTAGAAGAAGAAGAAGAAGAAGAAAAGAGGCAGCCATTGAGAGAGGTTCTGGTTTCTGTTGGGACCTTGGCGGGAAAGCAAAGAAAGAGAGCGAGACCGTTGAAGGGATCGTTAGAGTATTCCCACCCCAAGACAGAAATGCCCCCCGCGCGCCTTATTAATTACTACTATTATACTATCTCCATTTTTACAAAAAAAGATCAACAAGGGAAACGGTGATTTTTTTTTTTAAAAAAAAGAACTCCTCAGACTTTGAGACATTTCAACACATTTTCTTTTATTTCAAAAGTTAAAATATAATTTTAATAATTATATTAGACACTTATAATAGTATTATCCGTTAAAGATTTCCAAATATAATTAAAAAAATCTAATCACTTATCTCATCTTTAGATATCTAAAGATGCAACCTTTCCTTCTTTTTTTTCCGGCCACATATGCATAATTACTGTTTTAGTTTGTTTATTTTTCAAAATTAGAACTTATATCAAGAAAACAAGAAAGTACGACATATGAGTGAAGTTATGTATTTATTGAAGTAACTACCATTGATTAGGGAAAAAATTAAAGACAAGCCTTTTTTGAGTCCATTTACATTTGACCATAGTAGATTAGCATAAAGATATGTAAGCATCTTTTTCAACAGAGATTTAAATATTAATTTTGTTGTGAGCGATTAATCCATTTCACTATACTTGACTTTTATTGATATATAGTTATGAGATAATAACCATCTATACGTTTTTTAAATGTGTAATTATTAATATTACAAATGCTTATTTAAGTTTTCCAAAATACATTAAACCTCACATCTATAGGGGCCTCTTGAACAGGAATAAATCAAAAGGATTTTCCTAAGTTCAGTTGAAATTACGCTCAACAGCATCAGATTATATTGGTAACTATTAATCTTTAATTTGACAAGAATAGAAAACTGTGCAGGAAATAATTACTCGTTGGAAAACAGATAATCAAGAGATAATTTTTATTTTAGATTTTGTTTTATTTAAATATTAATAAACTAAAATTAAATGGCACATCAGATTTTACTTGTGGGCAAAAATGGAGACCTTACGTGCAATTGGGTTGGTAATTTAATCTCATCAAATATCCTACTAGAAGTTGTGACAAGTGATGAGGGATTGAGTTTTAAATCGAATCAAAATTAAGCTGCGCCGGGAAAATGCAAAATTGGGAGCAAAGAAACAGAAATTAAATATGAGAAAAATCAAAGTAAACGAGGGAGGATACGCTCTTAATTTGTCATAAATCATCAAAGGCACAGCAAAATCAAAAAAGAAAAATTAAAAAAACTCCCAAACCATATTAGGCAATAACTACTGAAAACCAAAATATAAAACACACACACAAACACACAAATTTAAAAAGGACCTAGAAATAAGGGCATAAAATTCTTCTCAGCCAAATTTCTCCGCTTTTTCCTTTTGTTGCTTAATTCTGTCAGCAGTTTCCATCACATCCAACACCACATTGACCACGGCCACCACAGCTCCGATCCCCGCCGCCACGCCAGCAACCAAACCCAACAACCAACCCATTATTCCTGTTGCTTGTAATGAAGAAATTAAAACTTGAAGACCTCGGGAAATAGGATCCTAATTGAAGTTGAAATGAAATAGCAATGCACAAGTGTTTGTTTGTGTGTACAACTATATATAGAGGCAGTCCGTTGTTGTCATCCGCTTTCTCATCAAACTTTTGGCATTCCATATTCATAGTAATTGATTAATATATATATTTTTTATATAACTTAGAGTATCCCCAAACTACTTTGGGTTTGAGACTAATTCCTATAGAAGCTAGCAGCATTAAAATTAAAATCCTTCTAACAAATGTGCTTCTTGAGATTCGAACTTGTATTTTTCTTTAAGGGGTGAAACCGTTTACCATTTCAATCAACAGCTTGTTGGTAATTGATTAATATTATTAATTAGCCATTATTGAATTTAGTGTTCCTCTTTGGTAGATGTAATCCCTGGATACTATGCTTAATGATAGCAGTGTAGTTCTATGTTCAGAGTATGATCTGTATTCGATTACTTCATTAATTCACAGTCGCATCATTATTTGTTTCCAGCCTCTTGATAATTAATGAGACAGCCACCGTTGAGTTTTATGCTCTTTTTTGGTACTACTTTTTATAAGTTACCAATAGCCAAACTAAATTACTCCTCCGGTCCTAATTATAAGACCCAATTGACTTATTTGAGGAGATTAAGGAAGTAAGTTAAGTTGGTTATTTATAATAAATAAATGTTGTCATTCCTAAAATATCCTTGCTAATTAAGTATATTGGCTAAAACTATCATTATTAGAAGGATTATCTTGGAAAAAAATGCATAAATATAAGAGACAAAATGGATTGGGTCTTATAATTAGGACCAAATAAAAAGTCAAATTGGGTCTTATAATAAGGACCGGAGGAGTATATAGATAACAAAAGTCGTTAAAATTGGTTATATGGCATACACACACACAAACACTCACACATAAATGTTCCCCCCCCCCCCCCAAAACATATCCTTCCTTTGCAAAGAGGGTGGGTGTGAGACAGAATAAGTAAGAGAAAATTGAGAGAAATTAAACATGTAATTAATTGAGAATAAAAATGGAAAAGTGCATTTAAATTTTAGAACAATTTACATTAGACCTATTCAAATTATCACCACTTAAAAAAGAGACCGGAGGAAAGGGGGAGGGAAAAAAAAAGAAGGTAAAGTGGCGTTCAACACCCTAATTTTTTAGAAGTATAATTTTACATATGATTTTTTTTTTTGAAAAAATAATTTGGTGCAATCTCACCCTTCCTTTGTTTGTTTAAAATCACATTAAAATGGTTGATGAAATTGCGCCAAATTTAATATATTATGGGTAAAACAATCTCTATTTTAATAAATAGCAAAACACGAGAGCACATCCAAAGTTCCATAGGGCCACTCCCCATATAATATATATCCCATTCCACATCCACCAGTCCATTTCCAAGGTTCCTTTTCAGATTCATAGTACCCTAATCAGTAATAGATCCATCATTTTGGCACCAAACCAATCACAAAGATTAGAGCATTGTGACCAATTACTCTAGCATAATGGCAATCTCTGAATTTAATGTTATCCTATTCGATTGTTTATCTGTTCTATGTTCAGAGTACTAAGTGAATGTTTCTGGTTCTGTGCTTTAACAGTTCTCTTTGGATAACTACTATATAACATTATTATCATTAAACATGCATGCTACTACGTTACATAATTACAGGCGAATGAATAAGTTCAGCATTAATCTTTGTTTCTTCGAATTCTGTTGGATTTCATTTTCCAGTTTGGTTTTACTTGCCGAAAGTTCAGTGTTCAGGGTACGATTAATTTCTGTGGTTCAGTCATCGATGCATTGAAATTAAAACCAATATATAGTTCATGTTAATCATAAATCTCGAGAATTCTTCAGCTTGCAACTAACATACTCCCTCCATTTCAAATTTTCTGAAGTATCATGTTAAAACACACACACACACACACACACACACACACACACACACACACACGTACACATATATACATATAAACATTTTTAGTCTTCTAACGTGTAATTAATTTTGGGGCAAAAAGTGTAATTGATAAGGTTTTTTTATTGAAAAAAAAAAAGAATGCTTTGGTGTAATTAATAGACTAACTAGGATCTTCTCCCCGTGCGTTGCACGGATGGTTGTTATGCATGTAATTTTTTTGTATATAAAAGATGAGGATGGTTATCCGGTTATGATTTAAATATATATTCACATGTAATATGATTTAAATATGATTTTGATAGTATTTAAATATATTCACATGTGCAAATTGAATCTATGCTTGGGTTGTTTAAAAAAAAATATTATGTTAACTAATAATTTAACTGAGATGGTTGATATACTTAAATTAATTCAGACTTAAAGAATAGAAGTTGTTTTCTAATTATATTAGTGAAATATACGCATTGTTCAAATAAAATAGTTTACTATGCAAATAGGAAACCACAATCCACCATCTACAAACAGTCTAATAGTTTGTTTTTTTCCAACTAAATACATTATTGATTAACTATTGTTAATATATTAAAAAATGATATTTTCTGACTTGTTAATTAATGATTAATGAGGGATAGCAATAGTAACAATTTGTAAAAATTTAATTAATTTATTAAGTAATATATAGATTAGATAGATATGTATCTAATGTTGTATATTTAATTAAATTATATTATTATTGATTTTGTTATTTTAATTCATTAGTCGGAGCAAAATGCAATCTAGCTTTCCTAGACAAATATAACTATTAAATTAAACTCTTACTAAAACTGTTAAATTGAATTAGGAAGAGAAATTCAATCATAAAAACATAAATCCATCAATACATAATCAAAACACCAAAACGCCTTATTAAACCACAGGTCATAATTCCATAAGATAACCAATAGACAATGGTGTCGATTGAAAGCTCAGAAATCAGTCTGAAACTTCACTTTTCCTTTGTAATGTTCTTCAGTGGCTTCATATAGATGGAGTTTAAAGTCAAGTGGTTAGACAGTCTAGTCTCATCACCATCAATAGAGGAATTAGCTGTGTTTTTTTTTTAACGTTTGGACAATAAATCCGGAGAGCCAAGCAACTAAGATACTAGAACATCACCGTCCTCACTCACTATGCCACTTGACGATGATGTTGTTGGTTGCTGAGACAAGAGACTCAACTGTGGATTGCTCAAGAGTAACATTATTAGTTATGTTAAGTTGGCTAACATTTAGGTGGAAGATATAAGGGGAGAATTATCCTCATACCTTAATGTCAGAGTAAGTAAACTGATGTAGCAACTTCTGATCAGTAGTGTACTGGGTTACTCCTATACTGCTTTTTCGAAACTTGATGTTGTTTTCCTTGATTCTAAGCTTGATAAGCATTTCTTTACCCACACAATTACTTAGTTCTTCTGGAAAAGAACCTTGTTTTTTTTTCCTCCGGAAATGGAAACAACGGGTGAAAATTGCAGAATGTGGCCAATGAGTTGAAAATTTAGTGTGATTATGGAGCCAAACCTCTGCTAACTTTTTCTTCAGCTCCTTAGCTGAGAAGCCAATAAGATTAGAAGTAAGACGATTGAAAAATATGACCAAACATTTACCTGTTAAATCAAACACCTTGTAATGGACCTTAAATCTGTGAATTGGTATGATAGTGTTTCAGTGTAATTTTCATTTTTCATCAATGTGTTTCAAATAAATGAGGTGCAAGTGTGTTTGATATAGATCGAAAATAACATAGAACCATACTTAGGCTTAGTGACCAAAACGTCATTGTTAACAACTTTTGCATTGAAGTTTGTCATTTTCATGTGAGGGTTTACTATCGCATGCGCATCCATCGTAGGTCCAGCCATAAGCGATTTCAACTTTCTGAACAAAAACCTTGGTCACAACCTCACATGCCTATTATCAAGAAGAGAATGGTTTTAATAAATATTTTATGATGGACAATTATGTGCCTAAGGAATAATTAGAGGGCAAATTACATTTGACTATCACATAATTTTATGTTTAAGGACCAAACAGTTTAACTTCACTCCTTCAATATTTCACCCAAATAAAAGTTGGTCCTTGATGGCAATGTACCTCACGGTTTCATATGAGAATCTAAATCTAGATTTAGTATTATAAAACATGTCTTAAAATATTCTAATTGAAAAAGTCTCAACAGAATGCTTGTATAAATAGAGATATGTTCTAACTTTGTTAATTTTGGAGAGTTTAGCCACATGTATCCTTATTGGAAAAGTTAACAGGGACTCATTGTCAAGAAGCTGATTATCGGCATTTGTTACCTGAGAGAAACGTTGGCTTCCTCCAGGTGTTTCATCAAGGCTAGCAATAATATTAATGTAGATGATTAATTTTTTCACTGGATAAATAAATTTAAATGAATAACAATTTTGTAATGCAGAAGTAGATTTTCATCGAATGTAACCTTTGGAGTAGAAGTTGAGCCTCTAGAATTTTAGGACTGAACGAAACCTTGGTTGCTTCAAACACATTGTTAATATGACCATGTGGTAATAATGACACACATATTATTACTAATAAATAGAGAGTAAGGATATTGAAATTGAGGATGTCTTAAAGACAGAATGATTTACTTTTAGGATTGTTAAGCTTACCAAACCTAACCATCACAACAATAGGGGGCTGGAGTTCATGACTCTTGCTGTTAAATGCGTTGACTGTGCAAGTACCAAATAGCACCACATTTATTGTGCATTCACTGCAAGTCACATTTGGCTACTTAAGTTAGGAGAAGATAAATGATAAAAACTGGTGGCTAGAGAGTCAACTACAAATGTATCATAGTAAATCCAATGACTGATATGAACCAATTTGTTCCAAATCTCTAGCTAATTTCATCTCAAGCTTTGTAACAGAGAACAATATGACACGGTAAGGGAGAAAATTCACTGCTATTAGCGTAAACCACGTGAGAAATCAGTAAATGACATTTACATAATATATATATATATATATATATATATAATATCTAAGAATTTTACAAGTCTTACTAACAAATCAGTAAAAATCATTCTTTCTTGATTTGCTTTGACTAAAAAATATATTTTGCATTTAATTTGAAATATATGCAGAATCATATGTATTAAAAATATATGTATAGATATAAATGAAAATCTTTTGGAATATATACAAAATATTAAGACGTTTTCCTGTGCTTTATATATAATTTCACCATTCAAAAAGTATTGTCACTTGATTTTCACTTGATTTTCAATACTAATAAAAGTATGTGTTGCATATAATTCTAAGTATATGACGAATCTTGCGTATTAAAAATACATATATAATATATATTAAAATCTTGTTGAATATATACAAAATATATATAAATTTGAATACTTAACCCAACGAAAATAAAACTATATTTTGCATTTATTTCAAAATATATGTAGAATCTCATATATTAAAATATATATAGATATATATATATATATATATTAAAATCTTATACAACATATACAGAATATTAAGACTTGTTCTCATGCTCTATATGAAATAGCTATATCTATCCAATTCTCAGATAGATTCAGAAATTTATGTATGCAGTTATAAATTATAATCTTTTTAGTGTTTTTTTTTACTGTTACATTATGTCCCTTGCACCTATAAACTAAACATCACGTGAGGAATATGACTTTTTTAAAACGTTTTTGAAGGGGAAAATAGACAATGTTGTTGAGGAGTACACATTAATTAACAAAGACTCTACAGCGAGTTTTACATACCATTAGAAACAAATATGCATAAAAATATGGCATTTATACAAATATATTGCAGTATTTCATGACTTTCTATGAACCAACACAGAAAGTTGAGAAAAATATAATATATAAATATTATCACTATAATATATATATGTGTGTGTGTGTTCAAATTAAATTAAATGTACATGTAAAATGGAGTAATTTAAAAAAAATCTCCAGGAGTGGTTCTTACTTTTTGTCAGCAAGAGTGAGGTTTAGTCTTTGAGGAGTTCCAAACTCATTCTTGCAGCCTTGCAAGGTGCCAAATCCTTGGAGGAAGCCTATCACATCTGCACACAAATTGTTTACAACATGATTGAAATAGAAGTGAAAACCTAACATTTGGATCTTAAACAGAATCCTGCAGTACTAACCAATTAGCTCCTCATTCTTCATGGTGAATCCAGCAATATCTTTTATGGGGATGAAGTTGTATGCCTTGCCAGGAATTGGCAAATCTGATTCTTCAATGTATGTAGTAGTATGAAACTTAAGCCTCCAAGAATGTGTTGTAACTCTGTATTGATCTCCATTGTCAACAACATCAAAGTTTTCAAAGTGGTATACCCCACCCTCTTTGGGTTCATTTTTGTAATGCTCAAACAGTCCTCTTTGTGTTACAAAACCTTCTATCCTATAACCCTGTACAAATTCTGTGGGGTCAATTAATAGTAGTAAATCTTTGATAATTAAGCAATGTCAATCTCTAGCTCACTTGCTCATCCACAAGTAGGCCAATCCTCCAGGGAGCGTATGGTGGAGTCTTCTTGTAGGCAATCCTCTTTCTAATAACACAAGCAACAATAGCCCATGTATCTTTACTGTCGTCAATATCTTTGATGTGGTCCTGCATAACGCTAGCCATATTATGATGATGATCTTCTCGTCACCCACTGAAAAAGGAAAACACAACAGCAATAATAGGTTCTTTTATAAGAAATTTGATACAATTGATTTGAGGTTCAATTGGAATCACAGTGGTTTAATGTTTGTAGTTTAGTCAAGCTATAAAAGGTGTGGTTGAAGCAATATCGAAATAGTAAAGCATTATGATAATGAATTATAAATGATTAAATTCCTAAAAGTAAGAATATATCAGATGTAAAGTGCCCAGGCACTACAAAAAAATATGTTAATTCTAGCGGTTAGAGTGTTACATTTCTAGCGGTTTTAACCGCAACAAATAACATTTGTAGCGGTTAAGGAAACCGCTAGAAAAACAGGTGCAAGAAAAAATTTCTAGCGGTTATCGCAACCGCTACACATCATGGTCAAAACGATAGAAAATTTCTAGCGGTTCCGAACCGCTATAAAATATCTGAAGGAGACACATTACTAGCGGTTATAAAACCGCTAGAAAATTTTTCCCGGAAAAAATTTCTAGCGGTTTCATAACCGCTAGAAACGTGTAAATAAATTTCAGTAGCGCGCGAAAATTACTAGCGGTTATAGAACTGCTAGAAATTTTTGGGAAATTAAATTTTCACGCCAATTGAATTTTAAGAATGGTGGGAAACTTTTCTAGCGTTTTTTAACTGCTAGAAATTTTGGCGCAAAATTTAAATTTGACGAAATATTTCTAGCGGTTCGGAACCGCTAGAAATGTTTACCGTGCCAGAAAAAAAAATTTATGGTTTTTCATATTATAATTTTAAAAACCATTAAATAAATTATTTTGAAGAATTTTTGTTAATTTGTATAATTAGTTATATGTTACATTTTATATATTCAAATTTTGTAATAAAAATATGTAATTAAATTATGAATGTGTCAAAAGAAGTGAATTTAGTCTAATAAGATAATTTAATTGAATATTTAATAAGATAGTTGAATTGAAGATGATATATTTTGGAATATTGAACCTATAGTATTAGGTTGATGAGTATTTGAATCAGTTGAGGAGGGCATGACAAATGTGGAGAAGAAAAATCTGAAAGGAAAGGAGAAATAAATATGTTAGTAAATTTTAAATAAAAACAAATAAAAGATACAATGAATTATAAAATAAAATTTACTTACCATAGAGTAAAGAGAAAAAAACCACAATATGAGATAGTAAGAAAAAAAGAGAGAATTATGAAGAAGAATAGGAGAGGAAGGAAAAGAGATGGAGTAAATGAATGTAGAGAAGATATGGTATTTATAGAGATCAGCGACACATTTGTAGCGGTGTTTTTGTAGCGTTTTATAACATTTTGTAGCTGTTATTCATTTTCTAGCGTATATATAAGCGCTAGTAATTAGTAGTGGTTATATATGCAGCGGTTATGAACCGCTACAAATGAAAATTTTTTTATTTTTAAAAAAATTTTACGAATTTTTATTTATACATATGTATTTATGGACGAAAAATTTGTTAAATAATTTATTTTGGATGCTGCTACTCTCCATCATCATCCGGCCTGAAAGGACATATTTTAAAAAAATTTGTTAAATTTATGTTGTATTTGGAAAAAATTAGTAATTAGTAGTTAATTATTTAAATAATTTAAGAAAAGACGTGTACCTGATAAGTGGCAAATTATCATCTCCTTGAGGAAAGAAGTCTTCAAAATTCGAGGGTTGGAAGGGTTTACTGTCGTAAATAATGTCACCATCACCCATATCGTAAAGATCCCGTGGCTTGAGGTGAACGACCATATTCCAGTCTTTATGTTTCTCGTCCTCGACATAGTAAATTTGGTGTGCCTCAGAAGCAAGGATATATGGCTCATCATCTTCAGATGCTCCCGTATGAATAAGTCTAGAGAAATTGACTGAGGTGATGCCCAAATGGTCAGTAGCGAGTCCCCGTGAAGTTGTCGTATTTGCCCAGGAGCATTTGAACAGTGTCACGGTGAAAAGCTGGTAAGTCAACTCAATAATGTCAATTAGCTTTCCATAGTAAGTGACGCCTCCAAAGCGCATATCGCCATCACTACTGCTAGCATAACATCTCGTTCCGAATGTCCCGCAAACTCCAGAGTTTTGTGTGAGCAATCCCTGATCACGTCCAACCGTACAGAACTTGAAGCCGTTGACATTGTACGCGGTAAACCTTCGTGCATGGTCTAACGGACCGAGAGAAAGAGCTCTGAATTCATCTGTGTATGGGCTGTTGTCATTACGTATTCGACGTGTAAACCAACTGGGAAACTCTTTGTGGACTCTTTTATCAATGTCAGCAGAACGCGCACGGCCCCGTAGCTGACACCTGAGATAACTCCTAAACTCACTATAGTAAAGTGTAATTTGTTAGAAGAGTCAGTAAGAAACAAATATAAAGTGTAAAAGCTAGTGAGCTTATATGATATATATACTTACTGCATGAAGGGTTCAACTTGGCTGCAATTTATCAAAACGTGTCTGTGTGCCTGGAGTTTCTCTGTAGGAGTGAGTCTGAAGAATTCATATCCTCCAACTGGTTTCCCAACAGGAGGAAATAAAGTTGACGTGGAAGGACCGGGAGGAGAATCATCTACGCGACGCGGGCGGTTAAAAGATGTCTCCATGTCATCAAAGTACCTCGAACAGAAAGTTAGGACCTCATCTCCGGAATAACCTTCTGCTATTGACCCCTCAGGCCATGCCTTATTCCTAACATATGATTTTAATTTTTCCAAGTACCTGTAAGTTAAAATTGCATTAATAATTACGAGTAAATGAAAGAACAATGTGAAATTTAAAGAGGCGGGAATAAAAGATAATCTAGTACCTCTCTATAGGGTACATCCATCGATAGTGAACTGGGCCAGCAACCTTTGCTTCTCGAATAAGGTGGACAGTCAAGTGAACCATAACAGTAAAGAATGATGGAGGAAATATCATCTCCAAGTGACAAAGTGTAAGAATAATTTTATTTTGCAGCTGATCAAGCTCTTCCGCTACCAAGACCTTCGCACACAACTTCTTGAAAAATGAACATAATTCTACCAAAACCACCGATACATCAGAAGGAAGTGTGTTTTTCAAGGCCAATGGAAGTAACTGTTGCATAAGAACATGAGAGTCATGACTTTTCAACCCAGTAACCTTTCGAGCCTGCAGATCGATACACCTTGAAATGTTGCTAGAATATCCATCTGGTACTTTTATGTTCTTCAACGTCGAGAGGAAGATATCCTTGTTCTGCTTTGTCAAGGTGAATTTAGCTGGCTGAAACTTGTCGTTTTCATCAGGCCAAGCCTCTTCACGAATTCCCCAGGCCCGTAAATCTTTTCTAGCTGCGAGATGGTCTTTGGACTTTCCAGCTTCATTGAGCAACGTATATAGCACATTATCGCACACATTTTTTTCAATGTGCATAACATCCAAACTGTGTCGTAGCAAATTAGATTCCCAATAAGGAAGAGTGAAAAATATGCTTCTCTTCCGCCATTGCATAGGTTGCGTATCAGATGTCCCACGAGATCGTCGTCCCAATCGTTCGGGATCCACACTCTTACCAAACTCGATATGAACATCTTCTAACTGCCGCAAAATATCCATACCAGACAAAGTAACAGGCGGATCTCTCTTCTCCTGTTTCCCATCGAAGCGAATCCGTTGCAATCTAAGTCTGTGCTTGGAATCAAGGAACCGTCGATGTCCTATGAAGCACCACTTGCGACTGTGTGGAAGGCGACATGGCACAGAATCAAAATTGCACTCAAGACAGGCCAACCCAGTATGCACATTCCAGCCAGACAAAGTTCCCAAACCGGGAAAATCACTTATTGTCCACATCAAGGCTGCACGGAGATTGAATAGTTGCTTGTCATGTGAGTCATATGCCTCAACACCATTCGTCCATAGGTCGAGCAATTCGTGTATCAACGGTTGCAGGTATACGTCAATATCATTTCCTGGTGCTTTCTTGCCAGGAATGATCATGGAAAGCAAAAAGGAGCTCTGCTTCATGCACATCCAAGGTGGTAGATTGTATGGAATTAACACCACCGGCCAGATACTGTAACTTGTGCTCATGTTTCCGAAGGGATTAAAACCATCGGTTGCCAATGCAAGACGTACATTTCTAGGATCATTGGCAAAGTCTGGAAATTTCGCATAAACGCTTTCCACGCCTCCGAGTCTCGTGGGTGCCTTAACCTACCATCTAGGTTTTCCTCAGTCGCGTGCCACCTCATGTGCTGAGCCATTTTTGATGACATATACATTCTTTGCAACCGTGGTTTCAAAGGAAAGTATCTAAGAAAATAATAGATTAAAAATTTAAAATACCGAATATTTAAGTACTAAATATTGACTCAATTTAAGAAAATTGATGACATAATCAATTGTTTTAAGAATTTCAAATATCGAATATTTTTAGAGACGGAACAAGTAACACGCTGTAATAATTTGTACCTGAGAATTTTGGCCGGTTTCTTCTTTTGCTTCTTGCCCTTCCGTACCGACTTATAGCGTGACGTCTTGCATCTCGTACAAATCTCTTTGTTGGCATCATCTCCCCAGTATAGCATACAGTCGTTTGGGCATGCATCTATCTTCTTATAGTTCAAGCCAAGCTTGTTAATAATCTTTTTTGCTTCGTAAAAAGACGGAGGGAATTCAGCTTGGGGGAAAGCATCTCCCAGTAATTCCAGCAACATAGACATCGCCTTGTCAGTCATACCGCACAAGCATTTGATGTGATACAGCCTCACCAAGAATGACAACTTCGAATACTTTGTACACCCAGAATAAAGAGGCTTGTCAGCTTCGGTCATGAGGTCAAAAAATTCCCGAGCAGTTTCGTTTCTTAGAAACTCCGGTTGAGGTCCCTCTACTTCATCTTCGTTGGGATTCGAGCTTTCGTGAACACCAAAAGCATCACGCACAGCATCATTCACGGCATCGGCCTCATCCACTCGAACTCCCATCCGTGAAACTACTGGCACTGACTCA